GAGCAGGAAGTTTTCTTTTCTTTTTTTTTTTTTTAATGGCTTGGATGGAGCCCAGGACACGAGGCTCTTCAAAACACTTTTAAATGAACCAATCATCCCTGTGATTGTTATGGAGACAGTCAATCAGGAGGTAAATCCAGCGCTTGTTGAGGACACTTGAGCGCATGATGAGGAAGGAGCAACAACTATATAACTACAAGGACTGTGAAGAGTGTTTTTTTCCCACTCTTTTTTTTTATTTTTTTTTATGGAAATTGTGTCTTCAAACCTCTGCACATACCAAAGTTGTGTCTGGGTGTGCCATGGCATCTCATACATTTCTTATTTCTCACATACTCAATACCATGGAAGGGTTATATATATAAGAAAAAACAGGTTTGTCGTTGAGTCAAATTGGACTTTTCTTTAATTCCAGTCAGGGTGTGACATTATTCTCAAGGGGATTCCAGCCGTCTCTGAATGAAACGTGTCCGCGCACAGAAGTCAAGGTTGCAGTATCACCTGCTCCTAAAGGAATATTTGGCCCCTCGATTTGAAATTCAGCAGCGTTTTTTTTCTCTCTCTCTCTCTCTTCGTTCTGTAAAACATTAAAATAGAGTCTTTGCAAAACTGACCTTGAGACTTGTCACTCAAGATATGACTCTATTTCTTCACTCCCCACTTTTAGGTTTACAGTGCCTTCAGACTTACTCCACTTCAAAGTCCTCTTTGATATGTATTTCCTGCAACGTCAGAAACCCAAATGAACGACCCTGGAGAGTCTTTCTGAGGAGAGGCCCATGAGAGGTACGGATGTGATCTAAAAGCCACAGTTCATTTGGATTAAATCTCACTTTGTGGACCGTTTTGTGCACAAAGGAGCTCAAAGGTGCAATCATGGGTTGAGATTTTGTTTTTCACAGAGGCACAACCACAGGATGGACATGGAAGCAGAATGTTCTCAGCCAATGCAGAAAAGTGCTGGGCTGCCACCTAATGGTTTAGCTCCATTGTCTGCATAGGACCATTGTTACCATTTCCCAATTGATGTTGTCTTTTATTTGAAGCCCTTTAAGCTGCTACAACAGTTATTGTAAATCCTCTACAGGCACCAAACCCCAGCAGTGTTCGTACAATGTTTCAAAGACTGATTTATATTCATGCAGCTGAGCGTAATTAGACTCTGAACATGAAATGACCAGACTGCGAACAAGTAGGGGAAAAAAATAGGACTTAAGAGGTCTTGTGGGCTACCTTCATTCATCCCTAAGGTGCAAGTTCACTCTGGAATCGATGTGATTTGTTGCTGTGACATGTTTTGTCTGCGCCGAGATAACAAGAACGAATGAAAACAGCAGGCGAGGAGGCTTGAAACCCGAAGTGCGAATTAAAAAGACAGCAGACAGAAGTGCTTTTATTCATGTCACTCCTTTTTTTTTTCCCCACGTCTGGTCCCTCGGTTCAGACGCTGAGAGTGATTGGCACTGCAATCACAGGAGAGTTTTCTGGCACCAAATCCGACTGTTTGTAGATGCAGAGCACAGTGGAGAATTCATATTCATACAGTGTGTTTCGAGTGTCACCTACTCAGAGGATTCAAACTCCGATGCACACTCTCTGGGCGCTCTTGGCCGTGGAGGTGCATCAAAGCATCCAAATAATTACAGCCGTAGCCGTATGACATCAAGATGGTTTAGCTTGCAAGCTCGGGCTCTCTAGTCCGTGCAGATAAAAAGACTCTTCCTCAGGGCAAAATGCATAAGACACATTTTAATCTTTCCTTTTATCTGCCAAAAGACTTTTTTAAAAATTTTATTTCACTTGGTTGATTTCCCAAGGCAGGCTATTTCCATTATACTTCTTGTATTGTAGCCGTCTCGTCTGCCTGTAACTGAATGTTAATTACACTTTATTTGCCATGAATTTAATATTTGGAATTCCAATATAGTTTAACAAAGATAGGGCCCTTTTATAGATCAGATTTTATAGATCAAATTCAGATATGCTCTTGGCAGTTCAATTAGACTTTGAGTTGAACAAAGAATAAAGAACATTGAACAGACCTATTACACTTAAGAGTGAGAGGACTGAATGTTTTTCCCCAGATACAGTTGGTAAGGCAAAATCTCCACACAGCTGTCACCGGTTCAGGTCCTGGTGCGGACCAAGTCAAGAAGTCGGTGTGGTAGCTGGAGAGGTGCCAGTTCACATTCTGAGCACTGCCAAGGTACCCTTGAGCAAGGTACCTAACTCCCTCCCACCACCACCAACTCAGAGTGCTCCCTCACTCTGACATCTATCCATTAGCGCATGTCCTTAGGATCCTGTTTGTGCATGTGTGTGTATTTCAGCCCATGTGTTTGTAACGTGTCTCAATAACAGAGTGTAAGACTGAATTTCCCCTTGCGGAATTAATAAAGTACTGTATATCTTCTTCTTCCAATCGATTCAGGTGGGGATAAAATGTTTAATCAAAATAGTTGAAAACATGTAAAAATATGGAGAATGTATCTTTAAATCTTTTAACTTAACTTAATCATAATTTGCATATCAATTATTTAGCATTCACAGCAGTTTAATATATATTTGTATTCCTTTCATTCAGACTTACACAGACTCAAGGTCCAAATAGAGTTCATACAGAGTACATAATATCTATAGAAGAATAGAAAATTGAGTGAAATATGTTCCGGAAAGTAAGGCTGATCTTTGAAAGCACTCACAAATAAGAGACTGTATCATTAAGGGCCAATTCAGTCAGTACCCAGTGATGGAGTTCTTGAAATGACCTGCTACTCAGGGCAGCTATGTTTTATAAAACGTTTAATGGACAACATCCAAAAAATTCTAAATATCTGAGGACCATTTGTTTTTTTTATTTATCAGATTATTTGTGAGGGACAATACAGTCATGAATTCATTGTTACATATAATTAAAGAGCAACTGTATATAGGACTTCTATCCATGGCTATCCATGGTTTGGCTTTTAGGGAATAACACACATGATACAACAACACTGTGAAATAGACATACAATTGCAGCAGACATAAGCCCAGTTTCAACCAAAGGTCTCTAGACCAAAAAGCTACAGGGACTTCCCTTCAAGGAACTAAATGGTTCCTGTGGCCGATAGTTGTTTGCATTTCCACCGCTACATGCCCTGTTCTCCAAAGTCCCTGGACCTTTAGAAAGTACTACCCCACTAGAAGGGTCTTTTTTAGGGGTAGCTCTTTTACCCAAGAACTAAATTTAGACCCTGGTAGATTTGGTATTGAACACACATAGTTCAAAAAGACCAGTTCTGGAGAAAAGTTCCTCCAGTCAAAACAGGGCTATAGGCAGCGACATAAACATTTGACAGAAGGATCCATGGTGTGTTACTGTATCAGTGAGGAGAAATGGTAAAAATGTTATAGAAAATACATGGAGAAAGCTATAGAGGAAAATCTAAGCCCAATAGTAAATAAAAGTTAATAACACAGGTTTTGTTTCACTCTCTCTGAGCTGCACAGGATGGGCGAGCAGACCAATGGTATGTTGGAAATTGGAGGAGGGAACAGGAATATTTTTCAGTTTGTGGATGTAAACTTGTTTATCATTTTGGGGGAAAATACTAGAATAAATAGGGACATTTGAAATGGTGAATGGACTTGAGCTTGTTTAGCACTTGTCTACGGACTATTCAAAACTCTTTTACACCACAGGTCACACCTACCCAGTACGCCCATTCACATCCTTTCTGATGGCAGAGGCTGCTATGTAAAGTGACTATTAGTATGACCTAAACCCATTCATTCACCTTCAAACGCATGTGGCTGCAGAAGCTGGGGATTGAACCCTAAACCTTCCCAATTAGAGATGACTGACTCTAGCAACTGAGCCACAGCCGGTTTCCTATAAGCTCTAAGCAGACATCTTCACTCCATCTCTTCACATACTCAATCTGTGTGAGAGAACGTTTGCTTGATGCGTTGCCTGTAAATCTAATCATTTTTTCAGACATTCATTCAGTAATAAATGATTTGATAAATAAAGTACTGTATCTACTTACAATGTTAATTGTTTTGTCAGTCAGCAGCTTACTTGGTATGGCTGGTGTGAGTGCCAACATTTACACTCCAGCAGGAAAGGTTTTAAACTCTGTGAAATGACACCGGCACATTAGCCTGGGTGTCAACTTTCACCATTAGCTGGATCTTCAGGGGACCGTTCTTTACTCATCATATAAGCGGTTGATTGCACTCACGCTGCTAGTTGTGTCGTGGTTACATCTCCCGAGTTGAAAAACCATGGTATTCAGTGTCAGTGTGCATTTTTCCCTTATATCCTATATCAAGTACCACTCTCCTATCCAATGTGTCTTTTTTATCAAGTGATATTTTGTCATCCTGTGTCGTCTTTGTTCTCAACCTACTCTTTCTCTTTTTTCCTGCCTTTTCACTCCTCATATACTCTGTACTCTATCTGCCTTAAACTGTTCATGCTTTTTCCCTTCTCTTTTAGAAAAAGCTTTTTCACTCTCGTGTCTCCGAACAAAACAGCTTCACCTTGTCTCTGCACCTACAGACACTGCATCACTATAAACATATAGAATTGTTTATTTAATTGCCTAATGCACCGAATAGGTTCAAATGTGATTTAAATCAAAATAGAGTTGTGGGCCAGTATTACAGTTATTATGTTGATTTTGATTTTCTGCAGTAAGACATTTTTTTTAACTTCATGAAGAAAAGTAGAAGTCTGCTTTATTAACTGGTATCTATCTCATTAGTATTCTCATTAATGTTCACCTCAGTGTGCCTCATTGTCCACAAGAGGTCAGACATTAACAGCACAAGCCATAAATAGTGCACTAAATACCCCTACCCTCTTGCACAAAACACACACACACACACACACACACACAAAACCACAAACACACACACCCACATACACAGCAGCTATGAGTGAGGTAAGGCAGTCTGAGGAGCTTCTTTGGTTTTTTTTTCAACTTTTATTTCAAATGATATTTTGGGTTTCCGCGGACGCGATTGCAGCCCACTGACATCCACGCGGATACTGTTTGATTGAAATAGTTTTTTGTGTTTGATCATTTTAAATTTTCACTTTTTTTTGTTGATAAATTCTCCTCAAACGTTTTTCTTCAACGAAGAGGTTCAATATATCACTGTCTGCATTCTTTTTTGTTAAATCAAAGTGCACCGTGACCTGGCTCCCTGGCTGGCCCACTTGTGACTGGGGAAGTGGTTTGGCACGCCTTCTCTGTTGAAGGAGGCAGGTTTACATCGTCACTCTGTCCCGTGTCTCGGATTCAAACGCTTGGCCCGCACTGAGGCTGAAGCGCAACTCAACAGTTCCCACAGAACAATGGGAACCGGATCAGAAATGAATATGCAGCACTGTTCTGGAGGATTTATGGCAAAAGGGGAGATTCCAATTTAATTATTCGAAGTCAACTTCAACCAAAGTCCCGTTGATTTATCATTCAACTTTTGGCAAACCCTGGGGATTTCTGAGTGCCAAGGTTTTCCAAGGGAAGCGTACAGTCGGTGGATTTGTGGACTGACTTTTTCCAAGCAGGAATATGGCCACTGTACGGCTCGATTACGTTGCTCCGTGGTGGACATACTGGCTGCACAATTTTCCACACTTCAATTTCGTATTTGAGTCGGTTGACAACACTTTCAAACCGGAGGAGACGAGCTATCAGCAGGTTGGTAACTGTACTTGTGCGTAAAAGCGCACGTAGACTCAGAACAGTACAGAATCTCAGCAGAAGCGTCAGAGCTGTAGTGGACCACTGGCTTCCAAAACCAATGCTAGACAACTTATTTTTAAGTATTAACGTGAGCTTTAAACAATCTCCTAAATTAAGTGATACAGCATTTTCCTATTCTAAGTGATGAATGGCTCGAGCTCCCTTAATAGCGGCAAGTGGAAGGAAGTTAGAGCCCACAGTACACTGTAGTTCTCACATGATGACACATGACCAGTATTAACTGGACAATGAAATATTTCAGCTGGTACACAACTCTGTACTGTAACTACAGTACATGCCTCTGTTTTTCTCAAATCTAATATTTTTTTACAACTCTCAAACTCAGCTTCATCTAGTATTCATCACCAGCTGCTTTATGTTCTTTGTGTTCTTCATCAGACCTCTGTAACGAGAGGAAAGTTAAAAAAAATATATGAGAAAAATAAGATCCCACTTGATGCATATCTTTACACTATAAACAACACATTCCCTGTATGTGATGTTCTGCCCCTTTCTTGTCATTTTTCTGACAGATGACATTATGTGAGGAATGTTCTAAGAACTTTTAAGTGATTTTACACAAGTAAAGGACAAATATTTAATTAAGTATTTTAATCATCCAAGAGATTTGTGGACATTTTTCTTCCATGGAAATGTACAAAAACTGATTAGTGGGACAGACTTTGGGTGGCAGGACCACAATCATTATAGATAAACTGATGAGAAAAAACAAATAGATCCTTGTGCTCAGTTTTTTCAATTCATTTGCACTCTACAGTCTATGATATTTATATTTATGTTGTGAATATGGACTTATTCTCTGTTTGCCTGCTTTACTCTTTGTACAATCATGATTATGCCCATCCAAAAAAAAAAGTTGGATTGATTTTCAAAGGGACTTTTGCAATTTAAAAAGCAACATGATATCACAGCAACATAGTTTGACAGGCGTAAATTTAATTAAAAAATCATTAATGAAGTTCATATTCTGTAGGAGAAAGAACACTGGATGATTTAATTTATTCCAATCAAGTAGAACATTTTTTATTTTTGCCTAATAGAAAATACTGTTTAAAATCTTATTCTAAATGTATTAACATTACATTTGTTTGTAGTGTTAGTGGATAACACTGTAAACAGATGTACTTGTAAGTTAAGAGGACTGTACCCTATTTTGGGCTACATTTCAAAATAAAAAATACCTGAGAATCCCTAAGTTACATGTGCATCTCACTGTGAGTGCATATTCATGTGGCACCAGGTCATTTGTGACTAAAGGGTCCACTACCAATCACCCCCACAACACTTGTCCTTCTCTCTCCAAGATCAATGTGGGTCACTGTGTCCCAGCAGTGTCACAGTGAGGAGTGAAGAGTGTCATATCTGCATAACACTGAGACTCTTGGTAGCCTTCAGGGATGCCACAGCCTCTCCAGCTATAGAGAATTACTCATGTTTCCTTATTTGACATGCTGGCCTGATGTTGCCTTTTGAAAGAGGAAAGTGCAAAACCACATTTCCTGTAGGGCTTTTTGTTGACTGTTTAATTGGATTAGAAATGCATCCTTCCTTGAGTCTGTTGTGTACAAACCTTTTGGGGGGGATTAAAAGATCAATGACCTTCTGTGAAAGTTCAACGGCCACGGATGCTGGTAAAGGTTTCCGTCTCTCGTTTTTCCCTCCTTGTCCTGCATCCTTTGCCTGGCAATGGCTTTGCAGTGGCAGGAAATTGAAATCCCCTGCGCGTCTAAGTTTAAAACAATGGAGTCGGAAATAAGAGAAGGGAGTGAAACTAGCAGCATTGTGCGTAGGATTGACCTGAACTGAGTAAATGTGACGAACATATACTGTGAAGTGTACACACTGCGCCTTGTGGCTCATCATCTGTGTCCCCCAAAAAAACAACTACTAGCAAATCCTTGGATTAAGGTTTTGGCCTGAGTGTGAGTAAAGGTAGGGCATAGTTCTTCTGGCACGTTTCTGTAGTGACCTATTTTATCTAAAAAAACAAATAATGTTGCGTCAGTCACTGTCTGGGCACTGTCTGTCTGTTTAACCATTTAGTTTTGTTTGTGAACCAACTTGTCAGTGAGTGCTGGACTTAACATTGAACATGTGACGATCTAATTGCTAAAAGAAATTATCTGTTCTATTGGTGGGACAAAATATTTATACGGCAATATACTTTATTGTGGTGCAGCTCTTGTGATACAATTATCGTGTTTCCAAAATTTTCATTCCATTTTCTTTTTCATATGAAACATGACAGGGCTCTAAACAGATTTTCATGCCAATTTGACTCACACCGCCAACAATTCATGACTCCTCATGATGACACTTATGACATAAATAAGGGTGAGGTCAGTGGAAGAAGACTGAAAAGTTAAAGGATGAAGGATGACGAGAGGTGAAAGTTACACCAAACTGCAGTCAATACGTTAATCCTGCTCTTTTTCATTTTAGAGACTGTTTGTGTTGTTCGGTTCATCAGATATCATGATCTGTCATTTCAGGAGAGCCTTAAGTAATCGTACAATTACTTATTGAACAGTTTAGTAAAACTTTATGCACTCAGAGAGGTAGCGAGGTGGACAGCAGAATAGGATACCCCCCTATAGAGTCCATAAACTGGTGGTGATGGTGATGTGACTGAAATGACAAACTGACTGCGGAAGAGAGAGAACAGATTTTCAAATTTGACAGCAGGGGGTGATTGGTTGAGAGAGTTTGTGGCAGAATCTGGTTGGATTATCACTTAAAGAGTAAACGCTCATGATCACCTCAGCAGAGCAGGGAGACAGAGAGAGGGGTAGAGAGGGAGTGGCTGAGATGAATGAAGGAAACTGAAAGAATGTGAGAGAATATAAACAGTCTCCCTGCTTTAACTTACTCTGAGCTCTATTACTTAAATGTCTAGCAAAAACAACACTGATCAAAAAATCTCTGTATTGTGATATCATTATCGGAGGCCATGTGTCACATATTGTAGCATATTGTAACGTGCCATACCATATTGTACCAAATCGTACCGTTTCATTCTGTACCGTACCCTATCGTGCAGAATCGTATTTTACCATACTAAACTGTATCCCATCGCAAGGTATCATATTGCATCGTATCGTATCGTTTTGTATCATATCGTATCACATATTGTATCATATCGTATCATATCGTATTGTATCATATTGCACCGTATTGTATCATATCGTATTGCACCATATCGTATCATATCGTATTGTATCATATCGTATCGTATCACATATCGTATTGTATCATACAGTATATTATCGTATTATATGCAGCAAGCACAGTGCTACACCGGGGCAAGGGGCCGATGTCTGCTTTTATTGAAAAAAAAAAAAGAGAGAACTTAAAAATGAACTATGAACTATGAATTCATGAAAATCGACTATACATAGCACCCCAACATATTAGTCAAGTTATTGTATGATTACCACCCCTATTTTCCTGCCTGGAAAGTGAAACTATGCCCTAAAAGAAGACCACAGCCCACCACAAATACAGAGTTTGGTATGAGAATGACGCTGTGCAATACGAACGATTAGCATTGAAATTCAGTCACAGTATCAATGTCATCCAAATGGAATAATTAGTCACACACGCTGTAGTGTGCTTAGTCAGCCAGACTCACTCCGCCTGAACTTGTGGGCTTTCAAATGTAAGTGCAAATCATTTGCAAGGAAAATCAAGGTCATAGTTGTTCTTTTGATTGGCTTTTCAAACCAACTAAGAGCTCAGAGTTTTATGTTCAAGTTCAGTGACTTTAAATGTAATAAACTAGAGGATAGCGCCCCCAGATGTTGTCTGTTTTTCTTTTGGTATCTGGTACCAGCCATTACAAGCACTTATGTTTGCACAGTGGTGTCATCACACTAAATGATCGGGGATTTGTTTCACGATGCCGCTATAAAGGCAAACAGATAAGATAATTTGTCGACTGGCTTAAGATACAGCAGCTAATGTTGCTGGGAAAGAAATAAACAATGTGGCGGCTCAATAAAATGTCATGCTGCATAACATGAATGTAAGAGAATAACACAGGATTAAAAAAGGACTGGTATAGTGCAAAAAATAGCCCCCCCCCCCCCCCACACACACACACACACACACACACACACACACAAACACACACACACCACAATGTCATCTGAAGTGAATAAACAATTCAATTTTAGTCTGCCTTGGAGCATTCTTCCACTTCTTCACTTACTATGTGCTGATAAAAGTAACAGCTTCTGAGTGAATAGAAAAAAAATATGTAAGGACCATGGGGGTTTATCATCACAGTACAGAGTGTTTCAATACTGTGTTTCCTACTTTTCTCTCTATCAGTGTTTCACTGCGTCCTTCGGGCTTTAAATGTTTTGTACACTCAGAAATCACAAGACTGCATGAAAGCCGTTGAGTCACATGGCGCTCCCCTTCCTGCATCCTTGGATCCTTCTGTTTTCCGTTCAGCTACAGTCAAATTTGGGTTTCAGTAGACAAAAAAAAAAAAACAGATTCTCCTTTGGGTGTCTTTATCCAAAGACCACCAAGTTCTACGTATCTATCCTCTGCTGTAGCAGTGATAATGCTGATTAAAGGAGAAGATTGCTACACATATCTTTACACACGAGTGTTGTTTGATACCGGGAGGGTTGTTTTCACTCAGATTGTCAACCTTTTGATTGTTAGGTTCATCCAACTTGATATTCCACAGGCTCTTAACATCTCACTGTCTCCGGAAAGATAATAACTGACGTAAAGAAAGTGTACAGAGGCCCTAAGCGGAATTTCATCCATACAATTGATTTTACTGTGGTTTCCTGTGAGTAATGTGTGGTTGTTTTCTCAAGATCTCAACATGTTTATGGGATTATCTCAAGATAACAACGCTGGTTTTCTCATGATGAAGAGTTCATTCCTCCATATCTGGAGAAAACGACTGAAATCAACTCAGCAAGTTATGAATGAATTTCCGCTTAGGGCCAAGCGGCAACCTATGGTGTTGAAAATTAAGCCAATGCAAAAAAGGTGCAGTTCTTTGAGTGTCCACTTGAGCCTGCCTCCAAAAATCCCATCCACACCCCTATTAAAATGCCTAATTAACAGCAAAAATTAATATGCTCCCAGCCAGGTTTTAAATGATTTTGGTTTGAATAGCTGATGTCTTTATCGCCACATTGTACAGGGGAGGATTTTTTAATAACTCATCTGTTTTGATTATGTGAAGAGTGAAAGTTATGCATGTTAAGGGGCTTGGCTGAGTTGATTGACAGATGGGCATGTTGCAGGCTGAAGGCTCGCCTCAGCTCCATGTTGTTGCCTCTTTTTCCATTGACTGAAAGTCAATTTGAAACAGCAATTGCAATATGGCGACTGCCATTGTTGAGCTGCTAACAAGTGGCTCAGTGATATAGTTTGTTGTCTCTCAGTTGGAAGGTCGGGGGGGGTGCGATCCCCAGCTCCTGCAGACCCATGTTGATGTGTCTTTGGGCAAGACACTTAACCCCAAGTTGCAAATGACCAACTGTGCTAATCTTGTATGATGGATTAGTTCATACTGATGGATAATGAATACTTTAAATAGCAGCCAGCCTCTAACATCAGTGTGTAAATGTGATGTGCATGGATAGGTGTGAAATGGGGTGTAAAAAGCGCTTTGAGAAGTCAGAAGAGTAGAAAAGCGCTTTACAAGCTCAAGTCCATTTACCATATACCATCTAAAGCTACACCTCAGAAACCAATAGGTAACGTCTCTGAGACTACGTCCATGTTTTATACAGTCTGTCATCACAGGAGAACCAGTGCTGTTTTCATGCGATAACAAAATAAATTTGTTAGGTTCCAGAAGAACCCACCCAATATTTAGTCATTGTCACGGGTATAAAAGGAGTGAAAAACAGAATGAACGGCTGCTAGTCCTCATAGGGCTTCCATGAAAGTGATATCTTAGTGTTGATGTTTTTCTTGTCCTTCTCTCTCTCTCCACTCTCCATCCTCAGTCTCTGATATTACTAGCAGGTGTCGGAGCAGTTGGTTTGGGTCTCAGCCTGCTGCTTCTGGCCGCATACCTGACCCTCCTGTGTTGCTGGCGTAGGACATAGACGAAGACACCAAAAGGCCAAACAACTGCTGTGTCACTTGGGCTGCTATCATCACAGGCCTCATCATATGGTGAGTTTGGGTGGCCAAATAATACCATTATGTTTCTTTTGTGTGCCAAGAAACTCACAGATACACATGTAATAACATTTCCTGTATCCCTGCTTGTGAGCATTAATAATCTGGAAGCTACTTTTTTATTCACTTGAAGCTCCTGTGAGGAGTTTTTTTCTGGTTATGAAACAGGCTGATAGAAATAGAAATGGCTCTTTATGACCTTCAAAAGCAAACAAGACCATCAGCTAGAAAATTGACTTTTCTAACTTGCAGTTTTTAATGCTTATAACAGCTGCAGCGGGGTAGGTGTCAGACAAAGTGATTTAACTGGACCCTTCTGAAAAAAATCGTCTTTTACATTTATCACATTGTATTCAAAAGTGTGATTCATCTAGGATGATGATTTTCATCAGAAGACACTACTTACAGATGTACAGGACAGGATGAGTAAAGCAACAAGAGGTACCAAACTCAACTCAAAACCAAAGTTCCTCACAGGAGCATGAAATGACTCAAATGACTTGACTCTGTCTAAATCCAATCAAGGTTTCAATCCAGGGTCAGACTAGTTGGACGGAAGCCTATGAGGAAGTTTATTTTTAATTCAGAACATGGTTGAATATATAAAAGGAACTGCTTCTGGTTGGACCAATGATGTTAAAAAATACAACAGAAACAACTTAACTGTAGACTAGAGTAGAAATCTATGAAATTGGAAGTAAAAACTGAAAGCCACAAATAAACAACCCTCTAGTTTAATACAAATGATATCTCTGGGTGCAAAATAAACTAAACTTATTAAAAATCCCCCAAAATAGCAAAAAATAGCACATTTTGTGGTGGCCTCATTTGCACAAGATGGATATTTACAGTAGCAGACGATAAATTTAATTTGAGTTTCTCACTGTACAAAATCACATTGAGAGTATTGTATTTCATAACAAGCAATAAGAACTTGCAGCTCAACTACCTGCTTGTAACCCATTTGTAAAAAAAACAATTAAGGCTAGTTAAGCTCTTATGCTGACAGGGCCCCTATCAGCTGACAGCTATAGGTGGTACTGCTTCAAAGCCCCTCAGCTGACTGATCAGCTGACTGCACCCACTGAAACTTTGACAACAAGCTTGCTCTCTACTTGCTCCCTTTAAATACTCCACCAAACCATTTTGCTGCATTCAGCCTTTGAATACTGTGCTTTTATATTGAACTAACTTGTGGTTCGCTTCATTCTGTGCCAAAATATCCTTTTTGTCCCATGTTTATTACCTTAAAATCTTTATTCGAATGCCAATTTATGCAAGAGTAAAGTACCAAGTGGCTTCCAAATAACTTCCAAAACAACATCACCAGATGTGACTGTCCTTTTATGTATGATTTAATACGCTTTTAGGAGGGGAAGAAAGATCCTGTCAGAGATGAAAATGAACAAATAAGCATTCAAAAAGGTTTAATTGGATTTGCTCACAGGTCGCTTTAACTTGTGACAGTGTTGGGTTTTAACTTTGTTAGCTGTCTCTGTCCATGCCAGGCCACTGCTGCAGCACACGGGGCTCGTTGTAATGTTAAGTGACCAGGCATGATGCTGTTTAGCAAAGGAGCTCTGTTATCTCTAGTTACCGCTCACAGCTCTCATCTCTCTCTGTAGGAACTTGTTCTAATGGATGTTTATGTATTTTGGCTCTAAGAGAAACTAAAACATACAGCATCCAATCACATAAACCAGCCATACATAAGTATGAGGTTAAATACACCGTCTTTGCATTATATAACAGCGAGGTTTAGAGCAACACTTCAAGTATTGCTGCTCCATATAAAGGTTGATATTTTCTCTTTGGCTTGATATTCGGAGTATTTTCAATCAGAAGTGTTTTAACGCTTAAACAACTTGAATTTTACAATGGGGGTCATTCTGACTGTTCAATTATTTAAGTCAGAGATAATCGATTTAGTAACATTAGGAATAGGTGATGCAATAGCCTCCTCGGGTCATGGGATTTTGATTGGCCAAAATGGGAAAATTCGATTCATTAAAAAAAAAATAAAGAAAAATAAAATATCTTGATTCCCATTTCCCAGCATTTAATTCAGCGTGATATTCAAGGAGAATTATATCGCGGTTGCACGGCAGAACTTAAATGGAAAGAGGATTTAAGAGCCTGCCGCACCTCTCATGGGTGATTCTTTCTGAGCCCGGGGAGGATGAATGGGGTAAATTAAGGTTAAAGATAGAAAACAAATCTAATATTCTAAAAAGCCTTCCTCCCAGTGTCACTCTCTGTTAGCTCTGATACAGTTTATTATGGCAGCGGTGGTCAGGTCTCCACTGAATCAAGGCATTTATCTGTTATTACTTGTTCATTCAGTGTGGCCATTTGTTCAGCTCATAACATGATCTGAATACTGAGGGATAATTGTTGCAGCCTTTGTGGGGAGTGATCCATCCTTGGAGGAATAAGGACACTGAATATCCTGGAGCCCTGTCGTGTATTGTGTTGGTTTCTTTTAGTACCTCTGGCTGGCTGCTGCAGGCGGCCTTTTCTATACAGCTACACACACACACACACACACAAAACACTAATGCATCCCTGGAGGCTAAACTGCCCCATGATGCCCTGTGTCATTACTGTTTCATTACTGTATCATTACCGGGTTTTTATTGTTGCTGACATGTCACAGGGTTAATATAGAGCTCATTATCTATGCCGCCGCATATGAACTGGAACATAAATGTCCTGAAAAGCAGAAAGCCATATTGTAAGCTTTCTTTAACCAGCTGAATGAAGACATTTTTAAAACCACATCCGTGCAGTTTGCATTGTGAGGATTACAGCAATTCTATCTCCTTCTCTTTTTTTTTGTGCCCGGCAGGTTTTGTTCAGACGATGCCCTGAGTGCCCCTAATCATAACCACAGGGAACGGGGGGGTTTAATGGAAGAGACAGGCAGCAGGTTTTTATTATACTTACAAGGTTGCAGTGACAGGATGCTGGCAGACACAAAAAAAAAAAAGAAACACACACTAATTCGCATAAGCGTTCACAGTGACATATGACACACATCCTGGCAGGATGTAATAGAAAATATAATAAGACTCAACATCCCGTCTTTGCACTTAACTAACTTCCTCCATAGTCTCATGGCTGAAGACGGCGGTGTTAACCTGCACTTGTGGGGCTTTCAAGAATGTTTTTTTTGTGTGTGTGGTTGTGCAGCACAGATGGTGTTAGAAGTCCCTAACATATGAGTCATTGTGAAAGTAAACAAGGACTTAGTACCCTTTTGGGAGGGGGGGGGGTTATTGTGCATATGGTACTCCAGAAACAACAATCCTGATCTGACTTCCTGATGTGGGTGATTCCCTCACGACGGATGAGTCATAAATTCAGTAGAAAAGTGTTACTAACCTCGTCCCTTTGTGTAGAGCGCCCTTACTGCAATCAATTCTTGAGTAAATATATCATTGCTCATATCTCTTTAAGGCTCTTTGTAGAGGGAGTAAACTAAATCTTAGGGGTCACGACACTCAATCCTTCCTATTACAGAGGCTCAGGCTGCAAAGGAAGGGCAAATATGCATCCGCTATCAAACGCTCAGATACATTTTTTGGTTGTCACACAGAATTCTAATGGAGGGTTTTAGTCATGAATGAGATACAACATTCAAAGTTACTGCTAGAAAAAGAGTTGTTTTTTTTCTCTTAACTCTCAATATGTTTGTGAGATAAAGGGCTAAACAAAACAGATGGAAGAATAAACGGATGCGAGAGGGATCTTAGAGGGCGAAATATGACAAATGTGAAAAATAAGTTTGTCTTTCAAAAGAAATCCGCTTCCACTGATACAACATCCAAGCCCATATGGCAGCCAGGAGGAGGAGATGAGAACTATGGGAGAAAAAATGTATTTTAAGGATGCTCAGTTATGAACAGACTTCAATAAAACACACTTCTTGACAGACAAACTAATTCACACTTGCTAATTAGCTTGGATTTATCCGTTTAATTTGACAGGATCATCATCAACAGGAACAGGCCTCTAAATGGTACAACCAATCAGAGCAGAGAAACATTATGCTGTAGTGTTTGGCTACTATAGGCTAGGCATTAGGTTTTCATGGATTTAACAGGGTATTTAAAATCTGATGATGTACTTTAATATAGAATAACATTTATAATAGGTACAGTATGTTCTGGGAATGACATTGATCTAACATAACATTTTGGTATGGGAAACCTACATTTTATAATTTAACAAAGTATCCTGTGTCATTTATGTCTGACACTTGTGACAAAACAAATGGCTTGAAAACCGAATCAGATATCGGTGAGATACCAATAGGCCTATTTGAATAGTGGATAGACCTCCTGCCGTCATAGACCTCCATCCATTAGGAGCCCCGGCTACCTCTCCCAAAGATGGTGGCCATATTGACATATGCTCATGTGAACGGCAGCATCAGAGGCAGAGGCAGTATCTATGTGTAATAAGAGCTGGTGGTCCGAGTACCCCGGCAGTTCTCAGGAAGTGAACTGACACCTCTCCAGCTACCACACCAACTTGGTCTACACCAGGATTTGAACTGGCTATCCTCCGGTTCCCAACTCAAGTCCATACAGGCTGAGCTACTGCATGTAAATATAAATATGAAGTGGGACATCAGCTGGAGCCATCTTGATTGTTTGAAAAACTGCCTCAATGGCTCTTAGATCTGGCCCCTAGTTGATAAACTGATGTGAATGAGCCGACCAGAATCGGGTCAGGTGGAAATCTTTCTGGAAATCAGGGCAACAGTCAGTTCTGTTGCAGAAAATAAAACATGACTTTGCAGATTTGTCTGGTTCCCGGTCTAATAAGATATCTGAAAAAGTGTAAAAATATGAGAATGACTCATTCACATACATTCCTTTTAAGTGTATTTCTAACCAAAGATGTTTTAATTTGTGAATTATTGCTTTTCCTAAAGTTTCGTTATTGCCAGAAGCAAGTTAGAGTCTGTGAATGTAAAATAATAAATATTAAAAAACAAGAGAAGGATTATGAAAAACAGCACGAAGCCTTTGGTGCGATACATATTTCCCCTACAGCCTCGTTGTGTTCCACTCTATGGGAAATTACGAATAACATTTCAGTCTTATACTGTATGTGTCCTTTAATGACAACAAACAGCCCACAATCAAGAAGTTCCACCATGACACAAATGCTTCTTTTATTGATTCATTTCTCTTATTTTTCACAGTTCTGCTGTGGGAGTGGGTTTCTATGGAAACAGTGAGACCAACGACGGGGTGTACCAGCTGACCTACTCGCTCTACAATGCCAATCACACATTGGGTGGCATCAACAATCTGGTGAGGGAATTACGCCAAGCTCTACACTACACCATCAAATCAGCATCAGAAGCATTAGATAAGGGTCATGAAAATTATCATCATTATTGGTATCAGTAATTTTTGTGTGTGTGTGTGTGTGTGTGTGTGTGTGTGTGTGTGTGTGTGTGTGTGTGTGTGTGGTTTTATTGCTCCTTGCCTTTCTTTTTGATTTAACTGCCAAAATGTTTTAACCAAAATGGCACCAAACATGATCTTTTCCAGGCTTATTCTACTTGGAGACAGTGATTTACAGCTGGTACACTTCCAAACCCCGCCTCTACTAATGGGGGGGGGGGGAGGGGGTTGCATCTGTCTCAAAGCAGCACCTCCCTGCAGGGGGTCTGTATCCTCTTTTTTGTCACCGTGAAGGAATCGAGGTGACTGCTGCCTCGGGATTTGTAAATAGGGATTCTTTTCTATGCAACTCCTGACCTGCATTCAGGAGGAAGTTATTTGGGAGGCTTATGGTGGGGGGAGGTAGGAGGGGGGTGGGGGGGGGGGGATATGAGAGTGGAAGGAGAGCAAGGAAAGTCAGAACAAGGCCCCTGCAAGAAGTGATGCTCACAATGAGGAAGAAGAGGATTAAATCCCATCTGCGGCGCGTTAATGGATGTTAAGCCTCTCCCCCTTTCCATCTCGTGCAGTCAAACTATGTGTACTGTATACCTAAGTGTGTTTCTGTGCGTGTATACAGGCATGTTAATATCACACATCCCATTAGCGGGGCCTCGTATGTACACATATTGTATTAATGTATGTACAAAAAGAGATTTATGTGCGCCTTCCAAATGTGAGAGCTCATTATGAGTAATATGGAGATAGGACAGATTTACATTTAATCCATTTGTTGTGTTAGATACAACAATTTAGGTCATGAAGGATATATATGGCTACTTGTGATATTTACACTAAATACCTACAGTTGCCAGATGATTACAGTCTTAATATATGTCCTAAAATATTTGAGGTTATACGTTTAGTTCTTGTTTTAACTGAGAGAGGTGTTTGTTTCCTTAGTGGTCATTTAGCAGCTCTAGTCTGTCGGCTTCCATTGCTTTAAATGGCGTGGCAAAATATCCCTCACATGCAATATAGTTCAGCAATGTCACGCCCTGCAGCCGTCAATACAAGCATTAAGTTGAATCAGCACCTCTTCAGAGCAGTTTCAACATTAAACTGGAAAGTATAACCTTCATAAAGGCACTATTTACTTGAGGGCGGCTGTATTGGACTGCATTAGTTTCACTTCGGTGTAACAAATAACCTGCAGACGGGGTGTAGTTTGCAAGTACAGCGATTTCTTTGTGCTACAGAAAGGAAAAATAGGAATTCAGCTTTGATGATTTCACGTCCTTGCTGCTTCTGACTTTCTGCCGCAGCATCCTGGTATTGATTTGATCCCGTAGCATGATATACTGTGTCTGCATGAGAAACATAGATGTTCCCCCTGGGAAGAAAAGGCTCTCTCACTTGCAAACATCATAGCTGGATGTAATATACTCTGCTCCGCTCCATTTACGGAGCTGATGACTTGGCTGGTTGTCCTGTAAAGCAAAAGCCGCCTTAGTCCGAGTTTAGTCTTGTTAGTGAGATGGTAATTTGTACACTGATCTTGATTGATTTAAACCAAATCTTTTCTTGGCCCGTCATGTGTGTTTCTATTAACTTGGTTTAAAAGTGATCACTTTATTAGTTTGCTCCACCCTTAATATCTTAAGCACATTTTCTTGGCTGTATTTCACACACACTGGGTTGATTGAAGATTTCGGCCAGCGGATTACAAAGGCACAGAAGCGAGCAAATCCATCTGCTTCACGAGGCCTCTGTGATGTTAGTGATTTACACGAGCAACTTTTTTTCTTCTACTGCCGCCTTGTCAAGCTTCGGCTGGTCATGAAATATACACTTTCACATGCTCTGAGGGAACATGGTGAGTCATAAATGGAAAGACTTGATGAGAAAACGAACCATCCTGCCTTTTTGTCATTGAAGGAGACTTTTGATTTTTTTGATTCTTTTACCTCTTTCAGAGTGTGATTCTGCAACAGTGCCTTAACGAAGCTCTGCCGTCTTTACATCTTTATTCTTTTACGTCGATTCTGCAGCGGTGTCCCAGTCTGTGAGTTTACTTTGTGTTACAGTCAGGCATGCACACAAAGCATTGTTCTCCCCCTGATGGCTCCAGTCTCACCAGCCTAGTCTCTTCCCTGAAACACATTTGTTACTACCCTCAATGGCGGCACAGAGATGGGATCACTTTGTCCCCCGATAACGACGCCATGAAATTCATAATAAAGACGAGACGTCACAGGGGTCTAGTATAGCAGCTGGAACTGACAGTCAAAGCACTATCTCAACTCTTTGCTGATTATGTCCTGTAGGGAAAGTAGGGTTTCAGAACAAGAAATGTCATCCTGCTTTCAGTCTTATATATACCTCACTGGGGCACTGATGGCCTAGCTCTTAGGTTGCACCCCATGTACGGAGGCTAAAGTCCTCCAAGTGGACGGAGGCTCCTTTTCCGCAAATCATTCCCACTCTCTCTTCCTACTTCACGCACTGACCTGTCAAATCAAGCAAAAAAATATATAAAAGGAAGTAGTGTCAGGCATTAAAGGTACCTATCTTATGCCATAGCAGTCGTGTGAAGACAGTCAATGCACTGACTCCAGTCACAGTATATAAACGTCACTCCCCCCCTCCTATTGGCTCGAGCTTAATTCTCCGGAGAATATCCTACTGCGTTCTCACATCAGCTCACTCAGACTTGCTGGGTGAAAAATACTACGGGTCTGGCAGGAGAAACTCTGGCTGAAGTCAGAGTGAAAAACTCAGATATTTCCTCCTGGAAATATCAGGAGATTTTCAGGAGTTTTCTGCAAGTGTAAAAATCCCTATTGCAGTAATTACTTTTCATGCTAAGTCTTGTTTGCTTTTGTAGGTTATAAAGAGGCATCAACATTAATATCAGTCTGTTTTATTACCAGCTAGAAACACCTCACAGGAGCTTTAAGAACTCTGCTTGGAAACAAAGGGGGAACAGATATGCCCATCAAACCATATCTTAATGCCTCCACTTACAACAGTGATTTACATGTCTTCCTATTCTTTGAACTGACAGCTATAACTTTTTAGATTTTTAGAACAAAATGATTACTTTCTGCACCACCGTGTTCCTGGAATGTCTTTCCTCAGTGTCTCATTCCTCAGTGTATTACCTTGCTTAAAATTAAACTGCCGTGATCATATATGTAGATTTATTATCACAGAGTTCATCTCAGATATATTGAATCACTCGAGGCATTAGACAGAGAGGAGTTCTGTTGCATGTGAATTATTGGCACTCGGTGCTGCAGCTGTGAGCCTCAGTTTCATTTAAAAGGCGTGTCCAATATGGAGAAGCCTCCTTGTGACCTGCTTTCAGTTAAAGTGAGCTTTAATCCATTTTAAGGGAAGACGGGACGGTCCAGATTAGGGAAAATGTGGATCACCCAGAGCAGCTAGCTGACGGATCCCATTTCTCACACTCAGGCGTACAGGCTTGCAGATAAGATTCAGGGTGTTGTGGCAGGAGCTGTGAGAGATGATGAACATAGAGGTGGGGAGTGAGAGCAGTTTACTGGCAATCACATACATTATCAAGCCCCCCCTGGGAGAGCTGGAGTGGAGGATGGGCCTATATCATCTCCTCTCCTCTCCTCTCTTTCTGCGATTTTGCATCCACTCCGTAGAATTTAATCAAGAGAGTCTGAAATGTTAGAGTGTCAAGGAGACTGAGATGTTTTATATCTATCTCTTTTGTGGTGAGTTTTTATAGCGTGGGAATGAACAGTCTTACTCAGAATACTTAGTGCATTCTGGTGTTGTGCAAGAAGTCGGGGCTGTAATGGAAAAAATACGAGAGATAAAAAAAACAAAAAAGAGCAACATCCTTTTAGAATTAGCCGAGCCTCCCACTCAGTTTAAAGTAAACACAGTATAAAGTTATAACAAAGTAATTTTGGTGTGGGTGGGGAACGTGTGTGTGCTTTTTTAAATAAGGGTTCACTCGTTGAATTTGTGTTATTTTATAAGGTCTCCTTCAGCCATTTTTTTATTCTTACATTTACTTTTTGGACAGATTTTTTTCTGTTTTCATGAAACTGTAGAATCCCCACCCTCTCTGGTCAATGTGTGCACAGAAAAGAGATCGTAGTACTTGTGTGCAAAGTAGTTTATGGCTACCATATACTTGTCCTTTTTTAAATCTAATACCTTTCAATAGAATATCCAACCTTTGGATTTAAGGCTACAGCTAGCATCCATTAGCTCAGCACAAATACAGGAAACACATTGAAACAGGTAGTTTGGCTTTGTCTTGAATTTTAAAAGTCGGACTCCACCACCTCACAGTGCACTTAAAATAGCAAAACTTTTGTTTGGATTTTCCTTGCAACTTCAATGCCTTTTCTTAAATCTGTACATCAAGGGTCAAGGCACTGAGCCTTTGATTCTCAATGAAATGAAATGTAGCTACAGAGAAAGTAGTTTCCCTGTCAGCATCAGGCTCGAATTGACCTGTTTCTAGCCTTATTGATGCTGTGAAAGTGCAAGCGTTTACTGCATCACATTGTTTTTGTTCAAACAGAAAAAGTCAAATGTATTTACTCTACTCCACCACGCCTCCACCCACTCTGTGCTCACTATCAAAGACCCCTGTGATAACGGGTCTCCTCGGTATTGTTATCAGTATTCCACTCTAACGTTGTTTACCTGAATGAAACACACGGTTGAAGAGAAAAGTTAATCTTTTCTCGGGGGACTGCTCCTTTGGTTCTTTCACCCCTCTCTATATTTTCAATCTTCTTTTATGAATATCTGCTTTTTATGAATTTATTTATGTTCCTGTTTCCTTCTGACCCTGTTTTCTTATACACTTCTCTTCATTTGCTCTCCTCCTTTACTCTGTTATCTACTATTTTCCTCTATTCTCTTAATTCTTTTTTTTTCTTATTTTAGGTAGCTGGGTCCGTGGGTAATGTAGAAACTGGACTCAAACTACACCTGGAACGTCTGGATGAAATCTTTGCCACAAGGTCTGACTACCTTCAGTCTCTGCGCTTCATGCGGCTTATGATCAATAACGTCATCCGCGAGCTGACTGCCCTGCCGGATATCAACAAAGCCAATGTTGACTTGGCAGCCATTGCTGACCAAACTGCCTTCATTGAGTATTACAGGTAGGTGGTGCCTTATTTACTCCCCCAGGGTGATTGACATTCATTTATTTTGTGTGTGTGTGTGTGTGTGTGTGTGTGTGTGTGTGTGTGTGTGTGTGTGTGTGTGTGTGTGTGGTTGAAGTAAACAAGCTGCTCAGGATGAGACCGTAAGTGGTCCAGACGATACACAGAGCAGATGGGATTTTATTGATCCCCCCTCCGGAACACAGACCGGAAAAGCTATTTTTCCACATTGCTAAATAAATGAAAGCTGAAATTGAGCGTGTTGCCCACTGTGCAGTTTGAGCCCGAATGCTTATTGCTCTCACTGAACGTAATGCTCTGCAGAGTGGTTATTAGTCCATGAATTATCTCCTTATCCGCAGACCATGCCTCACATTGATTGCAATTATTATTTTGATGTGGTTCTCTCTTTGAGATGTGTTCCCTTTCTTTGGAGAACTGGGAGAAGAAAAAAAAACATTGAAGGACCAAAAAACTCGGATTCAATAAACCAAGAGATACACAACAAACCCAATCAACAACAAAGTAGTCCAAATGAATAAAATATCCAGCATTAATTCAGGAGATAGGGACTAATTTATGAGGCTCCAAAGGCTTCTGCTGCTACAAACTGTGACTGTAATTTGATAGCTTCTCTAGCTTGTTTTTATTTTGGGCCACATAAAACTTCATAGTGCAGTTATGGTGTGATGTTTCACATTTGCCACCGGTTCATTACTGTAGCGTGAGAGTAAATTGGACTAAATTGGAAGGAGACACTAAAAAGAAGACAGATTTAGTGTAGCAGTACCTTCTGCCACAGAAGTGGTTTGATAGTTTTACGTTATAGACTCAAAGTGAATCAGGGTTTATGTGGATGTATGTGTGTATGCATGAGGGTTCTGTGGAGACCTGAAGTTTATGTCATCGTATCACATTCAACTCATAACTCATGACTGTCTCTGTAGGATGCAGATTTAGTTGAAGTGAAACTGCAAAGTGTAAAGCTGTCATTCTGAAACGTATTAAACGGTGAAGAGCTATTAATTCCACAGCCTCGTTTTAGTTTAATTCAGCGACTACAACATATGCTGGGAGTGTAACTCTGCACTTCTAATTCCGTCGGACATAGATATCATTTTCTTCCATTATGTCACATTACGCAAACCCTTTCCTGATACGTGGCATCAAAGTTCTGCCGTACACACAATGTTTTTACACTGCATGTCACATCTACCCATTCACACGCATGGCAGAGTTGCTGCAGGAGCTGGGGAATCGAACCCCCAACCTTACGGGTGAGAGATGACCGACTCTACCACTGAGCCACAGCCACCCCAATACACACATGCACAAACAGGTTCCTATGGACATGCACTAATGGAGAGATGTCAGAGTGAAGGGGGCTGCACACAGTGAGTGTTCCTGAGCTGGTGGGGTGGGGCGTGTTTGGTGCCTTGCTCAAGGGCACATCGGCAGTGCTCAGGAAGTGATCTTGCACCTCTCCAGCTACTAGACCAAATTGATACCACCGGGACTTGAACCCTCCGGTTCCCATCCAAAACAAGCTTACAGACTGAGCTACTGTTACCTACCGAACTAAGCAGACAGTGTTCACCTCCACAGCAGCTCCTAACTTGTTTGTGAGTCATGTTTGGGGCTACAGTAGCTCAGTTTGTATAGGGACTTGGGTTGTGAACAGGAGGGTCGGCGGTTGAAGTCCCCAGTAGTGGGGTCTTGGTCTGTACCAAGTGGCTGGAGAGGTGCCAGGTAACTTCCAGAGCAAGGTACCGAACCCTAGCTAGTCCCCACTCTGACATCTCTCCATTAATGCATGTCCACAGGTCCTGCTCGTGCTTGTGGGTATTTCAGGGCTGTGTGTTTGAGCAGCATGTCTCTCAATAACAGAGTGTTCACCAGAATTTCCCCAGTAGTAAAAAAATGTTCAAGAGGATCTTTGTATGAAAATCTTTCACCTAAAATACATTGTGCATTAAAACACACTGATTCTAGTTAGAAGGTTGATTTACTGTTATGTGTTGTTAAATGTTCAAACTTGCATGGTTATGAGCACCCTGAGGACAAGTCGTTTTTATTTTTCATGAAATGAGCATGAATATAAAACTGTTATGTCTGCTATTTGTCACAATGGCGACGTCTCATTTAAACTTCATAAGACACTAATTCTGTTTGTGAAATCAGCAAAGAAGGCTTCCTCTGCTTCTTGTCGGAGAAGAGAGCAGATGATTCATAATTCAGGACATCAAGTCTGTCTGGTTGCCATGTAAACCTAAAGAAATCCCTGAAAGTCTTTGTGCCTGAAAAAAACATGAAGCAAAAAACTTCTGCATGGCTCTGAAACCAAAGTGTGAAGCAGAGGTTTGACAAAATGGAAAATGAGTCTTCTATTTATCTCTTGTAGAAGCAACAAAGCTCAACCTAAATGATCAATTAAGGTGATGATGAAAGATGTTTACCAAGTTAAATGCTATTATATTCTCCTTAAAAAAAATGAACGTACCATTGCAGGTATCTCTGAATCCTGACATCACAGAACATACATAACCTCTGTTGTATCACTGCTAGCGACTCAATAACATCTTCCTTTCATCCATGCAAACATTTCCCCCACATGCTGTATTTTCCCTATGCAGACACCTGATCCTCCTTTTTAAAAACCACAGTTGCTGCGACTTCAGTGCATTCTGACTCTAATCTCCTGGGCGTTGATTGGATTTCATGCAGCCATTGGGCTATGACCAGCCAGTGGCAGGACTTATTGATGAGCAGCAAATGTTATGGCCAACCCTAGTGTTACTCGAGCAGCGGGGAAAAAATGATACCATGCTGTTTTCCAATATCATACCCTCCCCTTCCCTCCTTTTTTTTTTTTCTTCTTCTTTTTTTGAATTCATCGCTGTCCCTGTGCTCGGAAAAGAAAAAAAGTATTTCTATTTTATTCAGATAAAGGAGAGAGCAGTCTCTTGTACTGTTTTCATCCATCCATATGCCCTCTTCTGCAGGCGGAGGACTAGCCAGCCTGCAGCTTATATACACAGTCAGTTAAGGTACCTCCAGATTTCTCCTCATGGCGTTGGTGAACTACATTTTCTAGTGACCCTGGTGTACAGGCCAAAACATTAACTACAGTATTGCCACGTTGAGTCGGTATCATTACACAGAATCTTCATAAATTCACCTGTTTGTGTGGCAACCTAAAACATCAATGCATCTAGTCATTGCTGCAAGATTAACAGTTCTCATGGAGCTTTCAGTTAAGAATGAGTCATAAGTATTCCCACGTGTTTGGTAATAAAACACACACATACACACCCACACACTTCTATAGTCCAGACTCACTGTAGGCCATTCGTGTGAAGGACATTTTCAGAGCTTGAAAAATTAATGCCCATGGATTTGTGGTGTTGAATTATTAAGCCAACAGGCTGGAAATTACCTGAAACAGATGGGTTCTAACTAGGAGACAAGAATGCTGAAATGCGGCGCGTACAGACCACACCGATTCAGTGGCAAACATATGCTGCCTGAGGCTCTAACATGTGCCTGAAGTGCGCTCTCTGCAAGCAAAAGTGCTCAATCAGGATTGTGAAACTGATGCCCCCCCCCCCCCTCCTTCTCTCTTCCCGTAGATGGCTCGCCTTCCTGCTGCTGCTGATCACGGATCTGGTCATCTGCCTGGCCATTTGCTTGGGGATGGCCAAGCAGTCTCGATGGTTGCTAATCATGTACGTGCTTTTGAGTGTGTGTGCGTGGAGGAATTTGCATCAGGTTTCTGAGGCCATTTATTTATTGTGAGATATGTCCAACCTCTACTCGGATCGCAGACTTCAGACAGACAGGGCACCAGTCAGCCTCTCTGGCACCATATAGGTCACTCCATTAGCAGCACCAACAATAGCATTTCACATCATCGTGCAGGCAATTGCACTGCTTATTCCTCTCCTCCTTGAAGGCAACCTTATAAAGTGAAACATAATCTCAGTGAAATGTAATGGTCAGTATCTATCTTTCAGTGAACATCAAGCCACCATACACATAAAAGATCACAACGTTCTGAAAGGTATAGACGATTAGCGAGAGGAGCATTTGATTCTAGTCATTGTCAACCTGTAATTCAAACCAACACTGAAGGAAGTCCACAGTCCAGACTTTTCATCCCATTTGCCCAATTTAGTCGAGCCTACGTGTCAGTGTTAGCAGATGATGCTCTGGATCGCTCTCCACTTCCTGCTCTGATGGGTCTCTCTAATGCCTATTGATCGCCCGGGCAGATGAGCCTGCTGCTCCCTTAACTAATTATTAAGTGCTCTCAGGCTGCTTTATTGGTGCTTTCAAGAATGCTCAGAGCAGCGAGCTGAGAACAGTTTTTTTTTTTACATCCATCAGGGGGCCATTTTTAATTCGCAGCACTTTCTCGCGCTTCTGATGGTGGTCAGTAAGATTTTTTTTTCCCCCCGTACGTGTTCTTTCATAAATCACCATCGCAATGTTAACAGCCTTTATGAACGCTTCACCACTTTACAACAGAAGATTTGAAAAAGAAAGGGGTCAGCAGTTGAACTTATGTGGCAGCTTTGATTGACTGATGAAAGTGACAAGAAGGCGCCCCTTTATCGACAGCTCCTACATCTATGATTGGCAGAAAGCGCAGCCAATTAAATACTTTTTAAAGACTTCAGTTAGAATTATTACTGTTGCATTGTCATAATAAAGCAATATTATCTTAAGCTGTGGCCTTTTCTAGACCTGTACTGTGCTCTTTTTCTCTCAATTAAAACTTGTTTCTGAAGACAATGGAGTCATTGTACAACTCTGGTGTTTACAAATGAATCTAGCAAAGGAGTTATTTTATCTTTGTCCTCTGTCACCCTCCTTCATTTGCTGTTTTTTCCTGCAGGATTATGGTTTTGTAGCGCTCTCTCTGATCCTGAGCTGGGCATCGTTTGGAGTGGGTGCTGCTACAGCTGTGGTGAGAAAACAATCTTTTTATTTATTTAAGGGAAGAAAAATAAAAAGATCTGCCAAAAAAGATCTGCTTTTCACACATGCTTTTTATTTATTTATTCATTCATTTTAGATTGGAAACACTCAGACACCTTTTGCAAAGTGTCTTACTTACCCAAATGTAGAGTTGGACTTGTGGGCATAGAGGTGGACAGTGATGCTTCCTTTTCCTTTCCTCCCCAGGGGTTTAACTGTCAATAAGAACATGTTCCTGGACATCCTTCCTGCTTTAAGAGTGTGTGTGTGTATAAGTTAGTATACAGTGGGTGCTCTCCCTCTATGATCAGCCATGCAGTAAAGCTGATTACAAGTCCCCAGCCTTTTAGGTTAATCAACCTTTAGCCTCTGTGCTGTAAACAAAGCTGTTTCCAGCATTAATTACTAGCTCTGCCTTCTTCTTCTTCTTTAAAAAAAAAAAAACCCTCTTCCTTTGTTTTGCTCGGCTTTGTTTCCTTTCCTTATGGCGTCCTCCTTTCTGACAGCTTGTTCTCTCTTTCTGTCTGTGCACCATTTGTTCAGCACATCTGGGCTTAGTGTGTTTTGATGGAGTTCGTATTAGGGACACTGTCTGGGGTGCAGAAAGTAACCCTTTTGCTTCCATGCCTTCTTCAGCTGTCTACTCTGCACGACATCCCCCCCTCCCTCCTCCCCACCCCTGTAGATTATCCCGTCTGTGGATTATCCCGTGGGATTTTACATCTGGATGGTGTTTTAAGAGAGAGAAGGGTTGGTGTTTGTTTGAAATGTAGACATCATGTGTGAGACATGTAGTCGTCCCATGTGTTTTTTCGTCGACTGCCGAGCTTTTCTTCCTGTTGTTCAGTGAAGCTCATTATCGTAGGAAAAAAAAAGGGCCCCAGCACTTAAACCTCTGACCTCTCAGTTCAGCTTATTCAGAAAAGTTGAGCAGCTTTTCTCTGCATATTTCTGTCAGTCACTGTTATGTCACAAGGAGGCCGAGGTAATTTTTCCGCTCATCGACTTCTCCTGCCTAGTTATTAATAGGCAAGGCCTGTCCTCCACACACAAGTGGATTATCAAAGAGCACTGGAAATATGCGACAGTAAGTGCAAAATATGTAACTCAAAAAAAGTGCATGTTGCAAAAAAAAAAAAAAACACGGTGCATCTTGAAAGGAAGGTAGATGATGGTGGCGTCCTAGAAAATTCTCATAAATTTATACATATTTGATGAGAAGCAGCATAAACAAAATGTCCCCGTTAGTATAATGAGACGCAGATGAAGGGTAACATTCTAACAGCGCTATCTACGTTGCGGAACTGTTTTTTTTCCCCCTGAAAACAAATGCCATGCGGTTGCAGTAATCTTCAGAGATATGTTTTCATTTCAAATTGAGGGAGGAATGCATGCATGTCTAGAAGTAGAAAGTAATAAAAATAAAATTAGGTAGGCCTGTTATGTGTGTTGCCTTGCTTTGCACTTGTATATTACCAAGAACAAGTGAGTGGAAACGTCAACAATCAATTAGCTGATCATCTAAGTGATAATCATGAACTATTTGGATTATCTCTTAATCATTAAAGGGACATTTCAGGCAGAAAATGCAGATTTTAGTCACTCAAATGTGCAGATTTTCTGTTTTTCAATGTTCTAGATAACATGAAAAGGGACATCTTTAAGATAGGACTTAGAAAACAAGAATTCCAAGACTCAATCAATCATCTAAGGAAACTGAGATTTACATTTTTGTTCATTTCAGACAACTTTAATTATCCCCAAAAGGGCAATTCAGTTTCAAAGCTTACCCTACTGTAAGTTCCATAAATAAAAACAAAGCAAACAGACAAACCCGATCTCAGCAGCATTCAGACAATGACATCATCATGTCATGAATACAGATCAGCATAAGCATAGATCACCAGATGGGTAAACTAGATCATTAAAACCACTCTTAATACAACTCCAGATACCTTTATTCATGAAGTAATTAACTTATTAAACCCTACTTAAACTTTTCCTCTGAAATTCGATCGACACTGGAAATATAGATTTATTAAAGAACATGTGAATAGTTTTTGGTTTCTGTAGACTCTAGTGACCCCTGTGGACAACGAGGTAACTCTTATGTCTTTGCTGGTTTTGTCTTTAACATGACAAAGCAGATTTTTCGAAATAAAAAAAACTCATACTGCTTTTGTTTAAGAGGAAAATGTATCACTATTTGGGGATCTTTACCATAGAAAATGCCAAAAATGTACTGTTGATAGCACAGTCTGACACCTATCCCCCACCGGCTGTTTTCAGCATTGAAAATAAGTGTACAGAAATAATCCATCTTTTAGCTGATGGTCTCTGTTGAACTTTTACTTCATTAAGAGTTGTCAGTATTCATTTCAGTGTGTTTCATAACCACCTAAAATCTCCTCATAGGAGCTTTGAACTGATAATAATCAATAATAATGAATGAAGCAACTTTTTAAAGTCCTTAACTGCATCACTGGTTATTCTGTTGAGTATATTGTCAGATGGATCAGCTCTGCCCTTCTTCAGCTGTACTTTTTAAAAAAAATTGTGGTTCACATACAAAGATGAAGCAAAAAAGTGTGCTTGCTCGAAATAGCCCCGACTCTTTGATTTTTGAGCCGAAACATTTCTCAAGCTCCTTGAACTGGATCAATTTGAGCGCCAGCTATTAATTATGCATGTGTGTGAGAAGTTGTTTGGTGATTTGTGTTTCTCATCCTTTTTTTTCACATTATTATATTTCTGTTTCGAGGAAATCTAAGTGCAACAGAGTCTTCTTGACCTTGACCCCTTAATTGTTTATGCATGTACATTAGCGGATCTCAACGGATGAATTAAAGAGCAGTGAAATATATAGAAGATTTCATCCATGGCCAGCCAAGGATGACATGCTCTACATGGTCAATAGAGCCTGGGGTCTGTGGATACATTCCATATTTTTTCTATGTGCTTTTTTTTTTTTTTTAAAGCTGTGTGTCTATCCCTTTATGTATGTGGAGGCGTTGTTTGTGTGTGTGCATGTGTGTGTGTGTGGGCATGCTTGCTGTGTTGCACATGTCTGTGGGCATTTTCGGGAATACTTTCATTTTACAGGCTCGCCCGCTCCCAGTGTGATAACAAGCCTGTAAAACAAATACTTTGTGTTGTTGAGAGATTGTCAATAACTGCCCATTGCGGAATCAGATTTACTCAGCTGCAGCACAAGAAATTGGATCTAGTTCCTGGCGTTGAATAGATTGCTGCACTCCTTCGTTTCTTTTTTTTTTAAATCTTGCATAATAACCCAAGATTACAGTATTTTTCCATTTATTTGTTTTTGCACAGGGCACCAGTGACTTCTGCGTGTCTCCGGACAAATTCATTGTGAACCAAACCAACGATTTCATCAGCGCAGGTAATTCATCTGTAAAAGAAATGTTAATACACTGGCTCCTTTTTCCTCTAAATAAAAATAAATGACACTCATCTCACTAATTGTCTCTTTCACCCTGCAGATGTTGCACACTATTATCTATTCTGCAGTCCGAATCTACCAAACCCCTTCCAACAGGTAATGATCAAATACTCTGCTTTCTGCTCACACATGCAGCCACTAACTGAGTCAAACACAGACAAATCTATTTCTATTTTAAAATGAGTTTTTCCTTGTTAGATGCCAAGCTGCTAGATCATTATCAGGCTTTAATCTGCTGTTCTGAAAAATGAGCCCCAGACACTAATTGAATTACTTAATGTGATAAACTTTGATCAAAGAATTCCCCCTTTTTTTCCATGTGTGGCTGTCTTTACCCTGTGCGTAATCCCTGCCTTGGGGTGCTCTTATGAGCAACATTTTTGTCTTATTTATTTATTTACCACATATCATGCATAAAAGCAGCTCTTGCACAAAAGGCCTTTCATGTTATAATGATTTATTTCTATGTTAAAAAGACATTTGCTCTCAATTTTTTGCCTTTTCAAAATAACATTTAGATACCTTCCAAAGAGGCTCGTTGTTGAGGGTTCTTTAAAGAAAACTGCTTTAATAGAGCTATAGAATGCAACAACAACCCAAAGAGGTGTGAGGATCACAACCCTGGAATAAAAAAAAACAGGGCTGCTTTTACAAATGTGTTATTTTCAAGGACTGTTAGACCTAGTCGTAAAAAAATGTGTAAAATAGGCACAAAACTCCTTGACTCATTGAAGATTGCAAAGTTGGCGATGGAGCAAAGGTTGTCAAATTTGCAGAACTTTTTTTCTCCCCTTGATGCCACGCGTTTTCAAACAATACAGCCTCCATTATTTAAATGATCTTTATCACAGAAAAGTACCAAAGCTCTTAAAAAAACTTAGAATCTTCAGTTAAGTTTTTTGAACCCCAAGAAAAATGCAGCCAGTGAAAGACAGAAAGCATTGTCTCAATTTCACTCATTTGTTGGCAACTTTTCGGTTTACAGTGTGCAGGAGTTTGCCTGCATTTTTAGTAATTGAGAAAAAACAACTCAGTATTGGGTTCCATGATTTGTATTTTTGTTGCCATGGGATTGAAACAAGTATTGATATTGTGAATTTTGACTCAGAATCATATCAAAGTTTTTAAAAAATCAGGTATCATGATAACCCTAGTTGGAGATGTGTCTCTGTTTTTTTTGTTTTTTTTGCTGTTCAGGTCAGTTCTTTGCTGAAGTTGACCACGAGCAGTAGATAATAAAGTGAGGTTGTTGTTGTGACTGGGTAACACATTCATGAAGAGGACTATAAAGTCAGCCTCCATGATCACCTAATCTATCACTGAGCTGTGTGTGCTGTGTTGGAGTATAGATTATGTTTGGTGGAGGTTTAGCCAATGAGTAATGCTCCACCTTCCTATAGCAACATGTATCAACACTTGAGCTCAATTGAAGCTAGTGGTAACCTTCTCCTCCCTTCTTAGTACAATATTTCTATTGTATTTATTGTGCGTGGCATGTATTGAGGGAATTTTTGGACGATAAATCTGAGTAATAATTATTTAAACCCACGTCCTTTGTTATTGTTGCGCTACCCATTTAGGGATTAAAGCGATGCCTGTTAAGTAGGTATACGGATAATATTTTTTTCTCTGATGGCCTAGTTGATATAAATATCACTCTTTTGTTTGGGCTTTGAGATTGGGGTGGGTGGGGGGGGTGGTGAGGGAGTGGTGGGTGAGATGGTTAGTGGCAAAAGGATAATCTGCGCCTATCGGTCTGGAAAGAAATGTGTCCTCGGTTAAGCGCATTAAAAAGCTTTCCTTAACACCAAATGACTTGTTGACACGCTGCACCCAAACAATGCTCTCCTTAATATGATCCTCTCATTGTTTGCGCTGGATCTCTGTGCTGTGCGTGTGATGTTGCTGGGCGATTAAGTTTTTTTTCTTTCTTTTTTTCCAGTCTATAACAACCTGCCAGCGCTCTCTGACCACCATGCAAATCCAGATCCAGGGCTTGCTGCAGTTCTCCTTGCCTTTCTTTCCCACGGCCGAGGTAAGTGGAAGGCTGACAGACTATTACACCAAAAAACTGTGGGAAAGTGTATATCATGCTTTCCTTTTCTTTTCTTTTTTTTTACACCTTGTTAAACAGAGAGACCTTTTGGGGATCCAGCGGGTGTTGAACACCACAGAATTCAGTGTGCACCAGCTAACAGCCCTGCTCGACTGCCGAGGGCTGCATAAGGTGAGGTCAGATTTCCGACCAGGAATCCTTTTAATGGCTATTCTTTGTAGCATAACTCAAAGCTACTAAGAACACCAACCTTGACTGTTTTTTTAAAAACTCTATGTTCTTGTCCTGGACTGACATGTTTATATACACCATTACATTTGTCAGTTCACTCTCTATCAGCTACAGAAAATCTTTTTTTTTTCACCACCTCCAGTTTTCCCCCACTTTCAACTTGTCTCAACTTTACTTTGCAGGTTTCAGATTGTCAGATTTTTTATCTGTAAAGAGAATAAGAAACCTCGCTGCTGAAATGAGTCTTTCTTGCTGCTCTGATTGCGACATCAGATGTAGACTTTAAGATCAATAGAGCCTTCATGTGACGATTGTACTGGTGTACGCCGCGTGTAGGGGTGTCACTCTTGAACAAAGGCAAAGAGATAGCATAAGGTGAAGGAGGGTGGGTGGGTGGGTGGGGGCTATTGTAACATCAGGCACTACAGGGGACTGTCTTCACAGTGTTAGCAGGGTGCTAGTTTGCTGGAAGTGCAAGAAATATGTCTCTACTAGGGTAAACATTGTGCTTATTTAATCTGACAGTACATGCAACCATGCAAATGTTTCAGTTTGAACTCACATATCTCATGCTAAAGAAAGAAAGAATGCATTTCTAACTCGCATGTCATCAGAGTAACATGAGGGTCACAGCGAGGAAAACATAAAATTGTTTCTTTATGTTGGTCACCATCTCTGTTGTGAAAGTCTGCAATGACCTTCTCTGAGTCTCGACAACAACAACAACAACAACAACAACAACGATGAAAAAAATAGTTGAGATATATAACAGTAATGTTACAGTGATGTTGATTTAAAATGGCCTTTTTAAAACTAGTGTTGTTGTCAAGACCACACTAACCGAGACCATGCTGGATATACCTAAGACCAGAGTGCTCCAGGACAGAGTCAAGTCCAAGATCAAGGCAGGACGAGACCGAGACAAGACCAAGGCCGGTCTTGAGACCAAGACCGATTCCGAGCACTACAACACTATTTAAAACACACCACCTTCAATTCAGGATGTTTTCTTGATATAAATCAGTGTCATATCAAAGAATACTGGATGATATTATAGAATTTAATGGCAGCAAGCACCACAATCCTATTTTGCTACTCTCTCTTATATGCTTCAGGAAACTCCATGCCAAATTTCATAGCTGCATTACTGTAAATGATTTTTTTTACAGCTGAAAGGTGTAATGTGTGACTGTCAGAGTAGATGTCCAGTAGATGTCACACTCTAGCACCAGTTTCTCAGACCAAAAACAAAACTTTTCTTTGGCCATGCCTTCACCGTCCCTCAGAGCGATTTCCCACACCTCTTAGTGTTCCAACAGAGTGCAGCTGTTTGTAGGACTGATCTCTGTCCTGACATGAAGCTCAAAGATGATGTGGTTCTTATTTCTTTCTTTTCTAAGGATTTTAGACCAAACAAAGTGCGTTGATCAAGCATCCCTGACTGGGATCGGCCGACTCTCTTCCCCCGGGGGGTGGCAGGGGGCTAACGGTTGTAGAGGGAGTGGTTCATGCGAATAAAACATGTATGAAACCTTTGGGCATCTAAATGATACATCCACAATCTGAAGGAAGCACCATGAGAACAACAACCCCAGAGGGAGTTTAGAACTTTGATCACAAGCCCTTTATTTTTTTTAAAGGTATTTCTGCGCCAGCACTTTATATGTGTATTAGGTATTCACAGTGTTTTCCCTTTCTTCTAGGACTACCTGGATGCTCTCATGGGTGTGTGCTACGATGGAGTAGAAGGGCTCCTCTACCTGTCTTTGTTTTCCTTGCTGGCTGGCTGCGCACTTTCTGCCATGCTGTGTGCGATTTTCAAAGTGTGGACACTAATGGCCAGCAGGTCAGCATCAAGCGACCCCCTTATCCCATTACTCTACCTACTCCCAGCCCCGCACTCCTGCAAAGTGTTAATGCATGCACTCTCTCTCTCTCTGTCTCTGTCTTTGTTTGTACGTGTTGTGTGCGGGGGTTCGCCGCCTTTCATGCAGGGACAAAGAGTATGACGACATAGATGAGGAGGACCCTTTCAACCCGCAGGCTCGCCGGATGTCCTACAACCCCAGAAGGTCCAACATCCACAGTTTCTGTAGCTACGCCAGCAGCATCGGGAGTCAGGCCACTCTCCATCCACCTCCGCAAACTGCTGCTAATGTCATGCCGGCTCCTGAGTACATGTAAGATCTGTGTACATCATAGCAGCATGGAAGTGCAAGTGCCTTTAATCTCTTACCACATCTCTTTACCTCAACATCTCACAGGAATCAGAACATGCTGTTCGGAGGGAGTCCTCGATATGAGAACGTGCCGCTGATAGGGAGAGGATCGCCGCCACCCTCGGTGCGTTGGCCTTGCGGACCTCTAGTGTCCCTTGTGTGATGAAGATGAAGGCATTATTGACCTCAGCAGGGCTGCATCACTAACAGGGAGCACACAGTACATAAACACTGTATAGAGGCTCACATTGTCAACACTTAGTGAAGGGATGTAGTGATGGAAGACTGCTCCCTGCTGGCCACTGACTGAAGTGCATGCATTAATGGCCCAGTGACATCTCTCATTACCATGCTCTGGGCACATATCAATTCTTCGTTGTTGCCTTATTATGTTTCATAGATTGAATATGTGTGAGATATAAGCATTATGTGTTCAAACAGACAGCGCAGGTCTGTATTTATTTTTAAATAGCGGAAGCCATATTGCATAAGCACATGGTGCTGCTCTAGAGCTGAAGATGGATTATAGATAACGCAGGTAAAGCTGCATTCTATTAAGTTTTTCTGTTTGCGTGGCAGACTGAGTGCTTGATTCATTCCCCGGCATATTGCACACATGAGATTCCTCTTAGATAGAGAGGAAAAAGTGGACCGGTGTTTTAAAAATGAAATGCCTCTTTTAAAAATGCACTGGCTTTGTTGTTTTTATTTGTTTGTGTAACACGGATGCTTAAAACTCTGGAAAAAAGGCATTAGCAGTACTGCAGTGTATGAATCTACAGGGGGAAATATGTGGTGGGTTTTTTTTCTTTCTTTTGTTTGATTTCGTATCATCAATGCAATCTAACTGATAAATATTAACCAGTGTTTTGCAACTAACTCCTTTGTTATTTTTCATCTTTTTTTTTTTTTAACTCAGAGTTTTAAAAACCGTAAGTTTTTCTGTTTGTTTGATTTCATTGACATTCCACTCCTTGAAACACACTGGGGGATTTTCCTTCTGTTGCTACGAACCGCTTGCTGTGCAGAATGTGTTAACTTGTAACCTAAAGACCCCAGTAGAGCTCAACACAATATCCTAGCTGCTTGAGCTTTGACCTTCTGGCACCTTCTGTTTTATCCACAGAGTGTGACATGTGAGTGTTACTTATTCAGTGACTAATGCCCTCTGTCTGCGCTCCACCTGGCCTCCTCCTCCTCCTCCTCCTCTTCATTCATTAAAGCACCATGATTCTACTCCCTCTCGCCGATCATGATCAAAACAAATGCCCTCCAAACTAAACCCTCACCAAACATTTGAATATTATTGTCATGATATTTCAAGATGCTGTTGTTTCAATGCAAAAGAACTCATTTTTTGTCTCTCCATTGTTTTCCCCTTGCAGTACTCGCCCAGTATGAGGACCACCTATCTATCTATGACTGATGCCCAAATCAGACACTTTGGGACGGACTTCCAGGTGTAGCGTTCTACCCCACTAAATCCTTCTGAGACTGTCTGAGACTCTGGGTCTTTACCGAAGAAGGCTTTCTCCATAGCATAATCCTGTTTACAGGAGCTGCAGCCCGCCGTCCCAATCTGAGACATGAAAGCAGGCCACATGAGGCAATTACCTCAGTAAATCACCGATGCAGTGCTCTGGAGGCCCTGCATGCAGTTTTGAACAGAGAGGGGCCTGTACAGACTAACCGGAGGACTGTTGTTGTTGTTCTTGTTGTCATGTATGGAAACGCTCTTTTTCCGATGTAAGCATTTCTTACCGTCAGATCTCTCTTGATTCAAATCGAGAGCCGTTGAACTCAATGAATTTAAAACATCTTCCTGCTTTAGTTTGATGGCCTGCATGGCTATGATCATTGGTTTGGTCATTATTGATGGGAGTGGAGACTTTTCATCTCCGCATTTTGATTCTCTGGTAGTGATATGATTACATCATATTTAAGCCTTTCTTTAATCTTTAATGGTTCTTTACAAAATGAAGGACAATGTTTTCAACTTTTCTTAATATTAATATAAAAAAATATCAGTGAAGAGAACCACATATTAAAGTTTCGGCAAAGGATGTTTCCACGTCGATATTTTTGATTAATTATCACATCCCCCCCCCCCCCCCTGCAACAGGCACAAGCATTTCTTGTTGTTCCGTTTTGAATTAAATTGTCATAGCTGGAGGGTTCAATACTTTCTTTTTTTTTTGCTAAGTTTGGAGACTGTATAGCAGTTGCATGTTGGAAAATTCCCCCGGGCCTAAATAAGCACAAGCAAATAGGATTCAGTTCACCTCCCATTTATTACTGTGCAGTGACACGGAAGGTAAAACATTGAGTGAACGACGTGAAATAATTGAAATGTTTTTTTCTTTGTTTGTTTTAGGGCCAACTGTCTGCTGTATTCTGTGTACAACAATGTATGAAACTAATGTTTGACCATAAAGGCTTCATTCACTTCTGTGTGTTGTTGTGTCATTTGTCTCGGGTGTAACAGCTAGTTTACTAATCATGGGTGCTACTACTGAATCTTTAATCTTACACCCTGACAGCTTAGAAGTACCTGCAGTAATTGGATTAGGCTGACTAGACTTTTTGGGTGACTAATACTTGATTATAGCACACTGGTAAATATCCTAAACCACAACAATACATCTTTAAAAATGGTACAAACTGTGCCCCTACTCCATTGATCATTTAAGATGAACTGAAGATAGATGCTAGCTATAGAAGCCCTTACATGGAGCTACTTTCAATAGAGCAATTCATTAGCATCTTCATCAGGAAAACACCTGTTCAGGTGTCCACAGTTGTACCCACACTGAGTGGTGTCACTGTATCCTTCAGTACACCTTTACAGTTAAGTGGAGGGCAGTAGTTCCTAGCTGTTAAATAACTGTCTTGACTACTTGACTATGCACATAACAACTAATATGTGTGTGTATTGGCTAACATTTATATTGTTCTATTCTTACTATTATATAATACTGAATCTGTAATAAGTTCCTTTTTAAAAAAAGATAGAGTTAGATAGGTGAGAAGCTGGACAACTTGAAAATAAACAAGATGCGATGAATAAATAAATAAAGGTCTAATGCTATTTTAATGTAACTTGTATCAGGTGTTCAAAACATTCCCTAGTTCGGCACAGTTGGATACTTACTTCCTGGAGGATGCAGTAGGTAAGTAGGCCTATCCTTATCACTGTCCATGGTGCTGATCCCATGGTTAGCCGGTCAGTAGGTCATGCTGACTGGGCCAGGTGTCGGTTTAGAGATTATACCTGTATGTGTCGACCTCAGGGCCAGGGGGCGGTTTTTAGATTAGACCTCTTTGGGTGCTCAGCTCTGAAAGAAATTGTGACAAGAAGAATTCCTGTTCAATCCTCCTGCTAAACCACTCACTTCATAAACAGGAAATTAGGTTTTACCTTCATGTGAGATTTGTATTTACAACAACCATAGTAATGTGAAGTTACATGAGCGTTACACCACAAAATAGTTTGTCAGGAGAGGAAATATGGAATATGCTGTTTTTTCAAAAGTAATCAATTCTTACAGGTATTACATTTGTTATTAATAAATCATTAACTGTAGGCTACATTATTTTGGAAGCAATTCAGCATAAAAGATATGCCTAATTCTACTCATTGTTGAGCCATATGATATTAAATGCCAATACCATTATACTAGTATAACAGAGTTTTGAATGCAGGGCTTTAAAGTGTAACAATGCATCTCAACACTGTGTATATTTACTACTTTTACTAAAGTAAGTTATCTGGATATGTTTCACACTAGTCAAATCCCCTTTCTTTTTAATAACCAACAATTCATTATTGAGCGCTGGGTTTTTCTACCATTTATAAGAAAGGGGGAGATTTTCTTCTGCATCCTGCAAGAGAATGATTGTTTAAGTTTTTCACTATGAATAACCTGTGAGAGGTCTAAAAATTGTAAACCCACTCACCTACTATCCTATGAATCTTAGGCTAAGATTCACACATCTCTTAGCATTAATATTGAACATGGTTATCAAACGGCATAATCAACGTTAGCAAGTGAGTCAGAGCGCTAAACCACTTGGATGGGGGAAGGCTAACATCATCTTTGGATGGTGCAAAAGTATGTATAACTTATTACAAGACATGTTCACACATTTTAATGGGTCAATGCTCTACTAACAACTTCAGCAACTAGCTTCCCTGTCTGTGTGTGACTGTGTAGATCAGTGGTTCTCAACTGGTCTCAGGACCCACCACCAACTCCCTTGTTAACATTGTGACCCAAATTTCAGATACTTTTCAACCAATCAGATTGAGTTTAAGAAAAATTTTACACTTTGGATGTCAGACGGTTCAAAAAAGTGACAAAAAATGAGAAAAAAAAAAGAAATGGAACAAAGCTAACATGTTTAAAAAGCGCTGTATAGGCATTTCAACTGATTTTTTTCCCCCAGGCACACATTCAGCGACCCACTGAAAACAGCTTTGCGACCCACTTTTGGGTCCCGACCAGTTGAGAAACACTACCTGTTTACACACCTTTATGTATCGTGCATTATGTGTTGTTTATGTCTGTGTATTCATGTCAGTGTGTGATGAGCACACCAAGACAAATTCCTATTGTTGATATGGCTATAATTAACTTGAACTTGAACTAGTGTAGACCATAGACTGTAAATATTAAGGTGCAGACAGACCTGCTGGTTCAATCGTGAATTTTGGATAAACCTACTGTAACGAGAGGGGGTGGTTTTTTAAGGTGTGATGTAGACCTATGGCATTTACAAAGGATTAGGCCTATGTTCCACCTTAAAATCTAGATTGTTACTCCACATTATTCAAAATGTGAAATTTCAAAAACCGAATGGGGCCCCTGTTACTATATAGCGGTACTGGGACATTTAAAGGGTTAGAACTGTTTTTAAATTGCCTATGTGCTCGACAACAAGTGACCTGAATGTTTGTCCAGCGCTTGCATGTCCGACAAATTCTGTCGGCATTGCCCCATTTATCCTCCCAACACAATTAACCTATCAATTTATTTTTCGTGAACCTACCTGCCCAGCTGATACCAAAATGACATTTCACAATATTATTCTCTGCTGTCTACCTGACAACACTGAAAATGTACTTTTGAAGTGTGGGATGAACGCTTCAGTTTGCCGTCTGTTAGAATATCCTACTCCGCTTGCCGTAGTAAACACGGAAACACTGTGGACATGGTGGTAAACAGCTAGCCCCCTGCTAGCCTCTTTCGGCTTTTTGTATTCATGGCATATAGCTCTGTCAAAGGCAATATTTTGTCTGTTGATGAAGGGGGATGTGGAGGTGATGTTGCTTAAGAATGGGAAATGTTTTCGGGAGGAAGAGTCAACCTTCTCGTGTGACCGAACAGGACAAAGCCATCTTGGTGAGCTGTTAGCGGCTTCAGCAACAGATTAGTCCCGTTACATTTAAACAGGGCACGCTGTGTTGTAAGCTAGCAGGCACGGTGCTGAGGCTACCAGTCTATATACTTTAATTCAGACTTAGTCAGCTATTGGTTATTCATGTTTTCCTCACACATTTATGACATCTTTGTAATAAATGACATTTGTGCTTTTTTGCTCCAGCAATTGAAGCAGCAGAGGGATAAGCTGAAGCAGTATCAAAAGAGAATCACCCTACAACTGGACAAAGAGCGTCTTCTTGCAAAGCAGCTCCTAAAAGATGGCAAGAAAGAGTAAGCACAAAAACACATTTCATGTTGCCCATGAAAACGCAATACCTGCAATTTTACAGAACACGTGCAAATACTAGAAAATCATGAATGTACGGTGGCCCTGAAGTGCAAAACACAACAACAAATCAAAAAACACAACTAAAGTTAATGTCATTGTGTTTTCTTGTTTGTTGTTGTGTTTTATGATTTGTTGTTGTGTTTTGTAATTTGTTGTTGTGTTATATGATTTGTTGTTGTGTTTTATGATTTGTTGTTGTGTTTTCTTATTTGTTGTTGTGTTTTGCACTTCAGGGCCACCGTAGAAACGCCCTCAATTTGACAACACATGCTGTGACAAAACGCTGTGTTGTCAATTTCATGAATAAGAAAATGGCTTTTAACACAGACAACACCAACAAATACGAACAACACAAACCAAAAGACAGCACAGCCAAATGTCCACAGCCGCCAAAAACATGAGAAATGTGCAACATTTGGAAAAGGTGCTGCAAACAAAGACAAGTCAGCCAAAGACAGACAGCACAATAACAAATGACATCACAATAAAATACACCCAAGTCTTTTGGAGATTTGCATATACAAATGTACCAACTATTTGTGGAGGATAACGAGCCCAAATGTTTATATTTGCATAAAAGGCTGTGGCGTTTGTCTTAATTGATCATGCTCCTCCTGCATGTGGATGATGTAAACAGTGTTTCCAGATTTCGTGAGAGAAACAAGCAACCAGCTCTAAACAAGCCCAAAACAAGCGACCTGGCTCCTCAAATAAATAAAATGAAGCCAAACAGGTTACCTAACCTACCACATAGTGTAAAAGAGAGGTATAGCAGTATATATATATATATATGTGTGTGTGTGTGTTGTCTTGTCTCATTTTGATGTGAAACAGTGAAATCGATGTCCGTAAGCCTCATGGATTTTAGTGATCAAAGTTTTTTTTGTGGTTTTCGGTGCCAGCATCATCAGCATGCTGTATTAAGGTCGGACCCAGTCTCTTTCTCTCTCTTTCTCCCACTCTTTGGCTAACCAAAGAAAAGGGGTTGTGGACGGATCCTGGAAATGGACAAACTATCGCGATCGTGTTTGGCTTTATTGTGGAGAGTTGGGAGAGAATCTGTAGGGGTTCATAAAGGGAGCAAAGCCCAAACAAGCACCTGCACTTTAGAAAACAAGCCCAAAAACCCGCAACCCGTGACTGATGATATTTGCATGCAACTTTACAGAAAAACAAGTCCAAAGTCGCTTATAACAAGCGGACCTGGCAACACTGGATGTAAACACCTCGTGACCAGTTTTTCTAGTGTGCACGTGTTCAGAAACAACAGAAGCAATTACAAGTTCACTGTGCTCTGCATGATAGTTTCTGTTAATACCTTACCTT